TAGGTGGGCCAACGCTGCTCCCACAGTACAACGTAGCTCCCCATCCATGCCTTGCACGAGATTCGAACCCAGAACCTCGCTGATGCGAGGCCAATAACCCTGACCCCTACACAGGCGAGTTGACCCATAAAAAGATATAGTTTGCTGCGTTTTACACAAAAAAAAATCAGTTAATTTACTCATTCTGAGTTTCGGAGTTAGATACAAAGTTCTGAAAACTATCAAGTTTAAAACTATTATAACGTGATGTTTTCTGCCGTATGCCTATTGGAATATTTGTACGAGAGTCTGTTTTAGTTACATTTTATGATTTTATAAAATAACTATTCCTTTATGTGTATGATTTTTTATATCGTCAAATTTGAGATATAAAGTATACGAATTATTAAATTCATGAATTTGAAACATTTTTATGCGTCTCAACGTAATTTTCAATTGTTATATTAGGAATTCCTTTCCGTGGTTGCTACAGTATCTTAGGAAGACTGGTAACATTTTCCTTGAATTAATTTGTTTTTATCATTTTTTCCTGGGTTCGATTTCTTTCTTATTTCCCGTATATATTTAATTTTTATTCTTCATTTCTAGCCATAATAAGTCGGGAACTCAAAAAAGACAAAGAGCATCATGTTTTTTTATTCCTATGTAAATCCCGAAGAAGGAATTGGAAAATAAAATACAAGATATTTATATTTTCGATCTTCAAAGTTTTCTTTAGCTTTGTATACAGAGAATAAATGTATATTGTAATAACTAGTAGTTTTCTTCCTTCCTAAATTCGTTTCGTACTGCAAGAAATTCCGAACAAACAAAAACGCATTATGGAAGCCTTTTTTTCCAGTATTAATGTCCACTAGGTTCATGTGTATTAAGTAATTTAGGAGTTCTAATTTTTTTTCAGCTGTGGAACACTTAAAGATCGAACCCCAAAACTCAATGAATAAGTTTTATTAGCAATTGTGAACATTTGAATTAAATATCTTGAAAATATGTAATGTTTAAAATTTCATTTATTATTTAAAAAATATGTAATGATCAAAATTAAATTAATTATTTTACAAATATCTAATGATTAAAATTTCATTAATTATTTTAAAATTATGTAATGATCAAAATTAAATTAGTTATTTTAAAAATATGTAATGATGAAAATTTTCATATTGTAAGAAATTCTGAACAAACAAAAGCTCATTATGGAAGCCTTTTTTTATAGTAGTTCCATGCGCGTTAAGTAGATCAGGGGTTCCCAATTTTTTTCGGCTGTGGAATTTTAGAAGATCGACTTCGTATGACGGAACCCCGAGACTCCATAAATAAGTTTTCTTAGTAATTATGAACATGTAAATTAAATATTTTGAAAATAGGTAATGATTAAAATTATATTAAATATTTTAAAAATATGTATTGATCAAAATTTTATTAATTATTTTGAAAATATGTAATGAATCAAATTAAATTAATTATTTTAAAAATATGTAATTATCAAAACTTTATTCATTATCTGAAAAATATGTAGTGATCAAAATTTTGTTAATTATTTCGAAAATATGTAATGGTTAAAATTATATTAAATATTGTGAAAATATAGAATAAATAATATAGTATAGAATATAATAATATAGAATAGAATTAATATAGAATAACATTTCTTTTATCATTATCATTTCATCAATATTAGTCAATGAATGAACTGATATATGATTTTTATTTAAATAAAACGAAAAAAAAATTATGTAAACCCAGGGTTGGCAGGTTTTTGACATGTGACAGTTTTTGACAGTTTANGGTGACTCACCGGTGGGTCACGCTAGATTGTCTCATCTTGGCAGCGCACCGGAGTAAAAACTGGTAACAGTAAATTTGATTTTTTAGTTTTTTCCGGGAATAATAAAAATCCATAACTACCAATTGTTTTTAACGGATGCAATTTTTATATTGAATTGCTTCTTCGCCGTGAGAAATTTCCTGACAGTGAAATGTCATTGTTGAGAATAGATTAACTCCTCCCGAACATTATCTAATATTGAAATAGTTCTTCTACCAGTGTTTTCTCTTATCTCATACCAGTATTTTCACTTTTCCCGGCGTGAACGTGTTAAATAATTTAGGAGTTGTCAATTTTTTTCGGATGTGGAACACTAAAGATCGACTTCTTTTGGGGGGAACCCCGAAACTCAATGAATAAGTTTTATTAGCAATTGTGTACATTTGAATTAAATATCTTGAAAATATGTAATGTTTAAAATTTCTTTAATTATTTTAAAAATATGTAATGATCAGAATTAAATTAGCTATTTTAAAAATATGTAATGCTGAAAATTTTCATATTGTAAGAAATTCTGAACAAACAAAAGCTCATTATGGAAGCCTTTTTTTATAGTATTAATGTCCATAAGTTCCATGCGCGTTAAGTAGATCAAGGGTTCCCAATTTTTTTCGGCTGTGGAATTTTAAAAGATCGACTTCGTATGACTCCATGAATAAGTTTTCTTAGTAATTATGAACATGTAAATTAAATATTTTGAAAATAGGTAATGATCAAAATTATATTAAATATTTTAAAAATATGTATTGGGCAAAATTTTATTAATTATTTTGAAAATATGTAATAAACCAAATTCAATTAATTATTTTAAAATATGTAATGATCAAAACTTTATTCATTATCTTAAAAATATGTAATGATCAAAATTTTGTTAATTATTTCGAAAATATGTATTGGTTAAAATTATATTAAATATTGTGAAAATATAGAATAAATAATATAGTATAGAATATAATAATATAGAATAGAATTAATATAGAATAAAATTTCTTTTATCATTATCGTTTCATCAATATTAGTCAATGAATGAACTGATATATGGTTTTTATTTAAATAAAACGAGAAAAAAAATTATGTAAACCAAAGGAAAAAGAAATTCGCGTCTTCCTATTCCTGTATCCTTCTTCCAATTCCAGTTCCATAATATTTTTCACTTCCTTTGACTTAAATTAATAAAAAAGAAAAAAATTGTGATAGCCGAAAGGCTACCACAGTTTTTGGCAAAATAGTTGTTGTCTAATTTTTAATTTTTTTTACCTTCTTTATTTGTGATATTCACCAGAACTGATCCAGATCCTGTATTGAAAACGATCCAATTTGAACTGCAGGTTAAAATTTCTGATTCTTAATTAAAATAATAAAAACAAAAATATCGTCCAAATGATGAAATTCTCTTTTATTCACAACTCAAGAAGTATTTATAGGATCTCTCTGGGCCCATATCTCAAAAATAAACTCACCAACTTAATGCATAACAAAATTAAAAGTGAAAAAGAATTCTTAAAAAATTATCAAACAGCACAGGTTGTCATAGCAACGCATGCAATGACGATTCATGCGCACTGCTTACAATTACTCTTCAACACAGTTGACAGTGACAGACGTCCAAGTAAGGTGCGCACGCCATCAAACCCACAACAACACCCATTTTGCCAAAGGGTAATAAATAAATGTTAAGAATGGTTATCAAAGTAACATACTTCCTAACTGTTGAATTTGATTGTTAATAATAAATCTATTAAATCGCAAATTTTGTTTTAAAGTTACATCTTTCACTTGAACATAATCATTAAATTAGATTACTACAGCAAAAGTCACTATTAAAGTACTAAACAAGACAAAAGAGTATTAAATTGGATTTAATGGTAATTCAGGCTTCGCCTGAGTTTTAAAAGCTTAAAGGTAATAACAAAATTCAAACAATAAACGTCAGTGTTTTAATACATTTGTGATTATCTATGCATATTTTTTATAAGATCTGTATCCATAAGAGTTTTTAAGATGTCAAGTCTTTAATTATTTAAAAGTTATCTTAACAAATCATATTTATGCCTGTATTAACACAAATTTACCACCACTATTTTAATTTTGTAATATTCGTAGGGATTTTCAAATAAATATTTTCTTATAAAAGCTACCACTTAATTTTCATTAAATAATGAGAAAAAATATACATTTTGCATTATTAAAAAGCAAAATTTACGGTAAATAGGCCTTTTGCTTTTTTGGTTGACAATTATTAATGAAATAATAATTGACTGGCTTGACACAATATAGTAATAGTCCAAGCATTTTACAAGTAAGGCATTTTTACATCTAACTTCACATTAGCAAAATTTCCATACAGGTATTTCCATACATCAAACTTTGCACTAGCATAATTTCCATACAAGTAAAAAATTTTGGAAATTTCTACTTCATAACACAATTTATTGTTTACTTATTTATTGTTACATTTTATTGTTTACTGTTTGTCAAACAAAAGAACTCCTTCCGTCATGAGTCTAGGATTGTTTGCTGCTATTAGTACCGTCAAATTATGATTTAAGGTTGACATTCAAAATAACAAGCCATTGGAATCTGCTTATGGTGGTCTAGGGTGGCCGCACATGCTGCCTAATAACGAAAATACCACGAAATCCTTTGAACGGTTTTGCCAGAAGGGGAAGAAGCTTAAATACAGTGTTGCTCCTGGTGACTAAAAATTCAGAAAGTGGTGACTAATAATATCCATACTTTAATTAAGAGATATTAAAATTAGCAAATTTTTCTTGCACATATTATTTTAGTTAACGAATGAAAGCGCTTTTCTTGCTTTATTTAAATAAACTGGGGCCCTATCCCATTCATCATTAAATTACACCATTAATACATGATCCAGCTGGTTCATTGTCTTCTGAGTTGAGTTCAAAATTACAAGACAACGGAATTGAACAATGATAGTCGTAATCGCAAAATTGGGTCGGCTGTATCACACCGGTTTATAAATTACAAAATAATTTCGGATGGAATTTCTGNCGTAATCTCAGAATTAGGTCGGCTGTACCACACCGGTTAATAAATTATAAAATAATTTCTGATGGAATCCCCCATTAAATTTCTGACGCTTGCAAGGTCATGGATTAAATATTTTAATATTCTAATCGGAAAGAGATAGCAATTTCGACTGCAAGAAAAATTTTTGTTGCGAGCATGAAAATGAATTAATGGAAGCTTAGTAAAAATAATAAGACAACAGAGGAGCAGTTTTAGAATGAAAGCGTTTTCTGAATATTGAAAGGATTTTCCGGTTTTGCCCCAGTGTTTTGACGCTTGAAATAATTACTATCTAAGTCAGAGGAAGAGTTAACTTGAATAAATATCACCTAACTCAAAGAGAAGGTTTCAGACAACTCATTCCGACATTCAAGAAAGATTCGTCATAAATTTGAAGGTAATTATTTTTATTTTAAACATTTCATTTCAAACATTTTCAAAACTTCATAACAGTGTTGACAAAATATTAATCTCTCTCTCTCTCTCTCTCTTTATAATAATTTTTTCACATTACGTTTTTTCGTTATAATTTTATAGATATTCAATTGAGTCAAACAAACTTTTTGGAGGAATTTAAGATTGGTTGCAAATTTTCAAAAAAATTCGTTAAAAACTGCGTAAGTTATGAGTATTTAAGATAGTTCTTTTATACATGCGCATATGTATCATACGCCAGTCAGTGTTGACAAAATATTAAACTAACCTCTCTCTCTCTCTCTTTGAAATAATCTTTTCACCTTACATTTTTTCGTTATAACTTTATAGATATTCAATTGAATCAAGCAAACTTTTTGGAGGAATTTAAGATTAATTGCAAATTTTCAATAAATTCGTTAAGAACTGAGTAAATTATGAGTATTTAAGCTAGTTCCTTTATACTGCGCATGCACTGAAAAAAATTGAAAATTTTTTTCATAATTTTGTAGTGAATCGTATTTGGCAACTAAGAAAAAAAAATTTGGTTTGAATTTCTTAAAAATTTAAAAAGTTTCAAACAATTTTCTAAGTAGTTTTCGTACTTTTCAAAAGAAAGCTAAAAGCGAGCAGGAGTTATTCACAAATTTTATTTTGTATCATGCGACAAAATATGAAAGCAAATCATAATTCTTTACAATAATCGGGTCTCATTTTTAATAAATTTTGTTTAATTGTACAAGATAATATCTGTGGATAAACCCTTTGTTGTTTTGAGCTTTCTTTGAAAAGTATAAAAACTACTTAGAAAAGCGTTTGAAATTTTTAAGATATTCAAATTTGTGCATGCGCAGCGTAAAGGAACTAGTTTAAATACTTATATCTTGCTCAGTTTTTAACGAACATTTTTAAAATATTAAATCAACTATTTTATAATTGCTTTTAATTTTCTCCAAATATTGTGTTTAATTTCATTCCCAGACCGTTACCTATCGCCATTGTGGAACTCTAGTGTGAGGTAAATAAAGTACTTACCTAGGCATCAATGTAAAATTTAAAATGCGGCTGCCATCTAGATGAGAAATTCCAAAGATTTAAAACCTATTTTTTATTTGTTTTGGTGGTTTTACATTTTACATGTTTAAAATGAATTGATACAAAATGTATTTGCTAACATCAATATTTATTGATTTCGAGCGCTAAGTACTTAGAAATATTAAGTACACAAAGTGTCAGATATATTAAGTACAAAGTATACGCAATGGAATAAATAACACTTAATATTAGATAACATTTCTATTTGTTTTCTGTTGCTTGATTTTTTTAAGCATCCCGAACATTTTTCTCTTCGCTGATTTTAAATAGGCCATTGGTTTCCCTATCCAAGCAACAGTTTAGGGACAATTTTAAGTAAAGTGACAGTTTTAGTCTATTTTTTGTCGAAATGTGCAAGTTTAAAAATGTTATACACAACAGAGGGAGTGGCATCAATGTTGTGCCAAACTTCTAGAGGAGTTTGGACACTTAATCATTATAAAAAAGGCATAGGAGCCCATTTACGGAAATGTCCTCGTACACCGTAAGGAGAGCTTCATTATTAGGAACAGTTTCATCGTAAGCATCATAATATGAAAGCGCCCCTAGCCGCTTGCGACGACATTTCAGGTAACAAGTTCCAATGGAATTTTAATCCTGATGATGTACCAGAAATGGCATAGACGTTTTTCACAATTTACGCAAACCCCTTTTAAATATAACACTTTTAAATCTATAGCTTCAGGAGCAAAACTAATTTCAGATTTAAAATCAGCACATCCGAATAAAGCGAGATCAAGTACTTTATTTTATAACCGTCGTTGAACAGCCGACCCAATGTTTTGGGTTTACGACCACTAATATTCAACTATGTTCCTTGAAATTTTGAACCCGATTCAGAAGACAAGGGAACTCCTGGATCAAGTATTGGGAGAAATTTTTCCTTCATCGAGGACTTTTTGATGAAACTAACCCGCCTTTGCGTTACATAGAGAGGAAGACAACGAGAACTTCCCACGGTTAGCCTGACGGCACTGCGACTCTAACCCATGATCCGTCTACCACTTAGGATATTTCACGTCAGCACTGTGGTCGATGCGAGTCGGATGCGGATTCGTATCCATCGGTGGGATTCGAACCCGGTTCACCCACCTCATTGGAAGGCGAACGCTCTATCCCCTGAGCCATCGCGGCTCAAGATCAAGTTCTTTGTATAAATGCGACAAAAAATGTATTCCCCTCTGTAATCATAACAATGTTTATTTTAATCAATGCTTAAACCTAATATATACAAACACCGATTTTTCCCATTTTAACAGAAGATCTAGTGTTAAATATTTAAGGTCGTTGCAATATTTTACCTCTTGTTTATTAAATTAGTAAATATGATTTACAATAACTTTCACCGCTACGTTGCATAAACAATTTTAAAAAATATGTAAGACCTAATAATCGCGTGAGGAATTTTTAAATGCTGACATAACTACACAAACTTTGCTTTATTTGAAAAGTTTAGTGGAAGAACCAGGTAAGTGCTATTTTTAAGGATATTTAAGAATCAGAGAAAATAAAATAAGGTGATTGCATCAATATGGGCATGTTTAATGTAACAGAACTGTTTTTACTTTCACTTTAATTTTAACGTAACTGATTCATATTAATTTTGAGTATGCTTGCTTGAATTTTACTTCAAATTAGTCTGTTGTAAATAAAATAAGGCAAAGAATTATTAGCCTTGTCTTCTAATAAATCTTTAATAAAATAGTTCGGGGATCACTTTTTTTTCTTGCCTTGATTATAGTATCTCGGAAAATGTCACTTGCCTGCCTCTTCCACAAAGCTTTTAAATTATTTTTATACAGTTGCTTTGAATATTGAGTGAATGTGCAACTTCTGGGCTGGCTCATATTTGTTTACAATTAATACTCGCTAGTTTATAATTATTATATTCCAACTATATTTAAAACAATACTGTTCAAAAGACAAATTACTACCTTCAGTAAGTATTTTTAATATTTTTTTAATAGAAAAAAATATTTTATTAACAAATGTAATAAAATGTCAGCTTAACCTTTCTGCACTTCGAGTATTTTAAAATGGTGCTTGAACTAATTTAAGCACTAATACATTTAAAACACATAATACAGTCTTTTTTTATGTAATTTTTAAAATTCTTGAAATAATCTGGTTAGTAATTATTAAGGTATAGAAATTTTTAATTTTAGATTGGTGTCTTTTGATATCTTCTAAGATAAATCATCGGATGGCAAGGGGTTAAAAGCAAAGGCATTAATAGAATATTGGAAGTTCTAATTTTAAACTTCTATAAAAATAATAAAATTCTATCGGTAATCAACATGCTGCACTTAAAAATAAAATGAAAAAAAGTGAATGATTAATTTGACAAAATTTTTCTTGATATAATAACTAAACGAATATAATAAAAAAAGAGCTTTTAAATTAAGTTTTTTAAAAAACTAATCCTTAAGAAAAATTTCGTTGTTTACCACGAGACAAATTCTTCCCTACAGTTTGTGTCAATAAAACAGATCAAATATTTCGGCAAGATGCATATTATCATCCAACTATTTTTCCTGAAAATATGACGTTTTCTCATGACGATAATACCTACTGTTTTTTGATCTAAACTTTAATGTAAAATTTAAAAACTATGTAAGAAATTTAATTTTTTTAAATCTTAATGGATTACCACTCTCGTTGATATTTACTGTGTAATATGCCATTTGTAATGTGATGATATTTACAGTATATTTCAATGAAATATTTCTATTTTAAAATTTGACTGAGGACATCACACTAATAACAGCACACTATTGCAGTGATGCAACATATTCCCGACATCACTAGCATATACATAACCTCATTTTCACAATACCAGCGTTCTCAAGTTCATAATTTTACAATATAGTCTTATCACTCTACTGCATATAATTGCATAGTCAGAACCTCAATGATCCACATGAATACCCCTTTACTTCATTTGCATTCCACAACCTCATCGAAGCTCCAACCTCATTAACCTCAATATGGTAGGGAAAAGGGCCACAAGCGGCCTCAGGTGACCAGATATTTCATACAGTTCAGTTCAGTTTAATATTTACAGTATCTCTAACCAGCCACCAAATAGACCTTAAAAATTTCTACAGCAACTATCAAAGCAAACATGATGGATGGGATAGGGACCTCTGCGGGGCCCAGGTGCCCAGCTCAAAGAAGAAAAGATATTTACAGAATATTTACAGTATCACTAATGATATTTACAGTATAACCACCCTACGGTCGGATAAATATTCTATTTATTTCTAATTGCAGTATATCACAGAAAACTTAATCTGGGTGTTGACATAGGAAAACTTAATTAGCGGTGAAGAATAAGAGACAAAAATGGATAATTTATAATACAATTGTCATCATTTTTATATGTTTGTTTTGTAAGAATATAATCTTTGTGAATTCTCTGCCCTCTTAAATCTTTAAATATAAAAGTAGAGCTTTAAAAAATTTATGTTCGAATACCATGCTTGATTTGAAACCAATATGTTCATGCAATAGGGCAAAACACCACAATGCTGACGTAAAATATCCTCAGTGGCAGACGGAACATGGGTTAAAGTCCCTTTGCCGTCAGACTAACCATGATTAGGTTTTCGTGATTGTATCGTGATTAGGTTTTCGTGATTGTTTCTTCATGTAATGCAAATGAGGGTTGATTCCATCAAAAAGTCCTCCACGACTGCAAAATTCTCCTAATACTTGATTTAGGAGTTCTCTTGTCATTTGGATTTGGTTCAAAATTGCAAGGTTACGACGAAATTGAACATTGATAGTGGAAACTCAAAATATTGGAACGGCTGTTCAACGATGGTTATAAAATAAAATAAACATACCGCCAATCTGGAGAATATGGTCTTAAAAGTTTATAAAGAAAAGAGGTCGAAATTTGGGCCTTTTGCTGTTTATTTTTGTTTAATTCGCCATCTACCGTTCTCATAACGCAAATCTGTCAAAAAATATTTTTTACACAATCATAAAGTTTGTTTATTTGAAGATAATTCCGTGTTAAAAACTATTTCTTATAATCACTATTTTGTGTAGCCTGGTCGGTAGGGCGTGGGTTAGAACCCCACCGGACGAAGACTTCCCGTGTAGTAAAGTGACTGATGCACGTTAAATCTGTTTAGTCGCAAAAGTTCTCCATGTTCCCATAACAAATCAAGACCTCTGGGGGTACTGGATTGGAGATCGATCGTTCTCTGATTCAGGTCAAAATTACGATCTGTGGATGAATGAATGGATGTATGAATGGGTCCGCCCTATAAACGGGTGTGACGTATGGTGTGGCAGAAGTCGAATTCTTGGCCATAGATAGCGCCACTGGAAAACAAAAACAATCGCACCCCCTCTGCCTAAACAGGCATACGTCAACAACAACAACTATTTTTTGTATTGTTTTTGTGTTGTTAATTTGCTTACAGTTGAAAAATTTTGAATTGTAAGGTGTAAAATTTTATATTAATTTAATCTGCATAATTTTAAATGGTAAATCTGGCATTTGAAGGAAATCTGTTGAATTAAAAAAAAAGAGTAGGGAATTGGTTGAAATATAGAAACTTCTCTGATATGGCGAAATTCGCAAAAAGGGAGACTAACATTGAGGGACCCAGGCTTTCAACCACTCTCCTGTACAAACTAATTCGACAATATGTTCCCGATTGCAATTATTCTACGGTCAAAAATCGAAATCTGCCAAAAAAGAGGTATGTTTATTTAGTTAAAGTATGTTTTTAATTCTGATTTCAAACCTAAAAATACCGCTTGCGCTAATTAAATAAATTCTGTTCCAAAGAACAAGTACAGAAATGGACATACCTCAATGTCAAAACAGTAAACACCAAACAGTGTTTAGACATTATTATGTATCTCCGCTTGACCAACAGAGGGCACTGTGATCATGCACAATATTTATGATTATGTACAACTTCTGTGGCAGGCAACGGGTTGAAATGGAAGGTTAGATAGGGTTGTATAACAAGTGTCACACCATCATATGTATTGGTTTTTATTGTTTACGTTCTTAAATTTGATTGTTATTAAAGAAGGCCTTTTCACCATAGCATTCTACACTGTACCATTTAGCAAAAGACATAAAATGCTTGCAAAATACGTAGTAGTTTGCAGTCTTGGCACTTGAAAATCCGACCATTAGATCAAAAATTCGCTATTTCTTTTCTTTTTTTTTTCTTTCAGCACACTGTTTATGCATAAAATTTAATAACTACTTTTATATTAATTAACTTTTTGTTTACTTTAGGAAATGATGAAAAAAGTCCGTTTGATTGCAATTATTTTTCTTCTGAGCATCGTCTTGCCCTATGAGATTCACTGCACATCTCTTTCAAATGCACTAGGCAATATTTTACTGCATCCTCATGATTATGGCAGAAGAGAGACTTTACGACGATACGAGAGGCAAGTAGTCGCCACACCATATGGCTATCCCAGAAGATTGTGCACTATTTACGGATGTGGCTGCACTCCACGTCCTAAAGCCAGATGTTGCAAAGGATACAGATACGACAGATATAGCAGAAAATGTAAAGTAATTCTTTAAAAGAAATGCTAATGATGAGGAAAGCGATGGCGATAGTTCTTCGCATTTTGTAAACAATTCACGTTTGAAAAAAATTAAATTGAAGAAAAGTTATGTTTTGTTTTTATATGGATCTTTAGAACTGAAGAGTTTAAAATTTACTTTACTTTTACTTTATTTACAAAAATTGGGCACCTGGGCCTCTTAGCGGCCCCTATCCCATACATCTAGAAATTTACAGAAAATTTATAGTAATAACATTTTGAATTTAGCAGTCGATGTGGTAGCTAATAGAAAAACAAGCACTTTGCTTGAGTAAATATAACAATTGAATATCTGATTCATCGTATCTAAGTTGACATATATAAATATAAACATAATTTGACCTATATATACATAAGTTGACATAAATAAATATTAACATAAATTGATACATATTTTACTAATTAAATTTCTATATTTTAACTAGCCCATATTTAATTATGGCATACATTGAAGTTCATTCGAATACATTGTAGTAGTCATAAAAAAAATCAAGCAATTTGCTTGTGAAATAATAAAACAATGAAAAAATTAAATATGACACATTGACGTTTTTACATAACATTAAAAATATTGATTGTAGACTTAAATTAAAAATAAAGATAAATCATGATTTGATATGCACAGTAATTGATTTTTGAAAAATGAAAGACATAATTGATGAAAATGAAAGTGCTTTACTTACTTTATTTATAAAAAATTGGGCACCTGGGCCGCACAGCGGCCCTTATCCCATACATCTAGAAATTTACATATGTTTAAAGTGATAACATTTTGAATTTAGCAGTCGATGTGGTTGCTAATACAAAATTACAAGCACTTTGCTTGGGTAAATAAACATTTGAATATCGAAACTAAATTTACACATATAAATAAAAACATAATTTGAAATATATATACCTAGGCTGACATAGATAAATATAGTAGATATAACATTTGAATATCAAATCTAAATTGACACATATAAATATAAACATAACTTGAAATATATATACATAGGTTGAGAAAATGAAAGTACATGTTTTTGTTTTAAATATGAATAATTTGAACCATAAGTCATAGTGGTAATTACAATTCAATAATTAAAGCGATAATAAATAAGCAAAAATTAATTTGATTTCTGTCACTTTTTACATTTTTAGCCACCCATAGCATCCCTGTAAATACTGATATTTCAACTAATGAAGTATTGTTCTTAATGTATTTTTTTCACACTAAATCGAATGAAACCAAACTCGAAACCATAGAACGAAAAGTTTTGAAGATATAAAAGCTTTATGTGCAAAACGTACTTATTTGTACTTGTACATATTACATTGCATTACTATCTAGACAAGTAAAATAATGTTTCGAATGTACTTTTTCACTCTGAATTGATTGAGACTATACACTAGTCTTTAAAACGCATAATTTAAAAATTACAAGCGTTTTAATGTCTGAAAAATAATTTCGCCCCGTAATTATGTATGCACATTATCCAAGAGCTATCTGAACATGTAAGGACTTTTTTTGATATAACTGTTTACGATGAATTGAACGAGATCAATCTCAAGACAATTGGACTAATAGTTTAGAAGTTATAGAATATGCATGAAAAAAAAAAGAACAAGCGTATTTTAATGAGGGATTCTTTACTTACTCGTTCTAATGACCCGAATCAAGCTTTGTTTACCTTACTTGAAAAGTTGGTACTCCGTTCCATAAAGGTACTTCTTTTACAGATCCCCCCTTACTTGAAATTAGTTTAAACTCCAGCTAGAGTGCACTAGCTAGCCAATTTCTTGGCTGTTGTGGAACCCTGAATAAACAACCTTTTCGTGGCGGAACCTCAATGTTCATCAGCAATTGTGAAAATGGGTGGAAAAAAATAGATTGTGTTTTTTGTTGAAAAAGAACTGTTATTAACACGTTGAATGCCACGCTAATTTTACATGGCTTGCCCGTCTGGCCAAACGGTAAATAACTACTAACTAAATTTGCAAATTAGACAAATTTTGCTAGTTTTTTTTAAATGGTTTAGCATTACATATCTGAAAAAGTGGTGAATTATATAAGCTTACGAATTGTTTAGAAATAGAGGTGGATAAAGATCTACTAAATTGAATTTATTAAACCAAGAATCACAATTAATAAACTCCCACTTGAAAATATTTATTCGCTGTCCGGAGCAAGTTGGCATCTCTATATAAGTAAAACTATTTTTGTGTGTTCTACATTGCATTAATTTCTTCAATCATTTTAGTAACGATAATAATACAGAAAAATGGAAAATTTAATCGAATAATGTGTTTCTAATAATCTTGGCTTCGCCGGTCACCGGTGACGCCCATGGTGACACGAACAAACTCAGTGCCGGTCACCGGTTACTCCCATGTCATTCAACGTGTTGATGCTGAGAATGGTTATCAGGGAAGCATATTTCGTAAATATATATATACATATATACACAGATGGATCAAAAAATTCTGCATCAAGCACTTCTATACTAACTTTATGTAGAGTCTGTTTATGGAAAGAACTGCACTCGCCGTTCGTCTGAAGCTGTGGTGGTGACCATGGTTAAGAGGTTTAACTATTTCATGTTGTGGTGTAGAGTCAATGCTAAAGACATCTTTGCGGGTCGGCAAGAGAGAATCAGGGGAAAGAGAAACTTCCCTCATTGAAATGAGCATAGCAACAGAGTTCCTTAGACTGTGTGACGAGGAAAGAAATAGAGGAACTTTAAACAACCTCTCTTTCAGCAGCAAGTGCTTTGGAAGATTTTACATGGCTTAACTGCTGGCGCAATTCGAAAGATCATGTCTGAAGCTTTTTGAAATGAAGTACTTTCTACCCATGTAATATTTGCATCTATCAAAAAGAGCTTAGGAAGTTAAAAACTTTTTTCCTATTTCAATGCCGAATGTTAGACTTTCTCTCCTCATTCTGGTCGATCCAAATTTTGCATGTGCAAATATGACGCCATTTCTAAAATTTCATGCATGCTATTTTGCCAACTTTTGACAAGACCGTACCTTGCCATGGTGGCTCAGGGAATAGGGTGCTCGTCTCCCAATGAGGTAACCCGGATTCGAATTCCAGCAATGGCTGGTTGATACGAATAACGCAAGCGGCACCTTTCAAATCGAGCAAACAGTCTAGCAATGTAAAATCCTCTAAAATGTTTGCTGCTAAAAGAGATATCATTTAAGTAGAGTTAATATAAAAGTGTTTCCACATTTTTGTCCGACCCCTGCATACATTAAAATTTAGCTGCCCTTTTTTTCATTAAAATTTTTTTTTCGAAATATTAAAAATTTAATATTTTAAAAATATTGATTGTATAGTATATGAATAAAATTGATTGGATAAATAATTACTGTTTTCGAAATTCAGTAGTGAATAAAGTTGTAGTTATAGTTCCTTTACGTCGCCCTAGAGCTGCACAATGCATACCTGCAAACTTTCATTCTTTTGGAGAATGGATTTTCAGAGTAGTTGTAAAACAATAAACGAAAAACAATCTGACTCAAAAATATATTTATATTTTGATCCAGCTGAAATTCGCTTGCGAAAGGATTATTATGCTTTCATATATTTAATGTAATTATTTATATGTAGTGGTGGTCAAACTCATTTATAATTATCATTCAAAAAGTTAATTTGAGTAACCTGAATATTGCTACCACTTTAAATAAGAAAATAAAATCTTCCGGAAAATCCGGAAGAATTGGCAGGTATGACAATGGGCTATTGGCGACGCTCTGAGTATGGCTGAAAGCCCTTATATAGCAAGACGGAAAAGATGAAAAACTGGTACGCAACACATTTTATTATAGCATGTTTTCCGTGAAAAATAAAATATCCGTAACTACCAAGATTTCCTTAGGATTTGAGCATATATATAAATCTGCTTCGCTTCTACGTTAAAATAGACCATACATACCCTCCAACTGCTACGGAATTTCCGTAGTTTCAGAAATCTTCTTTTCAGACGGTAGCAAAATTAATGTCTTAATATTTAAAAAAAATTAATTTTAGCGTAACTTGTCCACTATTACTTATAAAAGTGCAGGCCATATGGCTAGATTCTTAAGTTCTGATAAAAGTTTTATGAGAGATCCATTTGCTTTAAAAATTTCTACTTTGGTTCGCTACCACTAGAAAGAATTATTTTCAAAATCTTCATAAGTTGGAGGGTATG